CACAGAGCCTCTGTTGCTGGATAACACACAAAGGCTCAGGCATTTTAAGACTTCTAGTAAAGGTTCAGCTGGCGAGAAATGATCCAGGCTTTCCTTGGTGGTGTGTCTTCTGATGTCCTTCGTGCTCGAGAGACTTCAGAGGTACAGATGTCATACGGCTGTGATTTCAGCACCTGATAGCAATGGCATGAGTTATAGTAAGAGCTGATGTCGACTAATAGGATGCTGAAATGTAACTGTGAGGGTGCATGGTTGGGCTCTGCTCGTAGTTGGAGAAGTTTGCTGACATCCAGGAGCACAGCCCCTCACGGAAAGGGGGTGTAAAGCGTTGTAGGGCTCTGTCGTTTTTCTGTTTTATTTCATCTGGCACATATTTCAGCTCAGATTGTTGGAAAGGGTGAACGAGGGCTTACTTACAAGCGCTTACTTTCCATATAATCCTTAATGTGTGGAAATCTAAACCTACAAGGATTGATTTTAATTTCCTCCAAAAAGTTGCTCCTGGCAGAATCTGATAAAGCTGTTTTTAGGCTAATTCTTCCCAGCCCCCAGCCCTGCCCTTGGTGAGCTATCGGAGCATACCTATCTTTGGGAATTCATTTGGTGATCACCGCAGCTTGCATTCATTATCTCAAATACCTCCCAAATCACCGGCTGATGCACGGGGGGCCTGGAAAAGTGGTCTGACAGCATTTTCTGAAACTTTTCACTTTTGGGGGAGAATGTCCCCAGGTTCTTGCCGGTGGTTTGCTTTTTTGCCCCGTGTTGAGCTTGCCCATTCGGTGCAGAAGATTAAGGAGAAGCAGGGCCGCTCCATAGCTCTGCTGCCTCTTTCTTTTCCCCAAGATTTGCTCGTTTGTGCCCAGGGTTGTTGAGTCCTTTTGGTGCCAGACCTGGCTGCCAGCCCTCAGCCTGGCAGCGGCACAGCCGCAGCACAAGCTCACCGTGCAGAAGAGCAGGTCACGGTCTCCTGCAGGAGGGTCAGAACCCGGGCCCAATCAGCCAGGAATTTTATACAAATTTTTAAGAGCTTTTGGGTTTTCTTTCCTGCTACCAGCCCGGTGAATGAGGTAGCAGTCATCCTATGTTCGAGAGGTCTTAATGAACAAGATGTACCCTCATCTTCCAAAATATCAGAACAGGAAAGGTAGCAAGGGTTAGTTTAAAGCGATTTGCACGTACTTGGTAAAATAGAATAATCTTTGTTGTTCCTGAACTCTGAAACAAAAAACGAATTTCTGTGGAAACAAAAACACAGGCTTGCCGCTGCGCTGGAGCAGAGCGATGCATTGCAGGAGAGATTTAGCATCGTGTTCTGACCTTTCTGGAAACAGTTGATATGGAAATATTTTTGTCATATTTATTTAAACTTTTTTCTTGCATTTATTTAAACGCGGCAGTATATTTATTTGAAAAAATCAGCAGCATGCCAATCCCCAGTTCTTGGCATGTTAACAAAACTAATCATGCAATAAACATAATACCCTTAAATCTGTGCTCAAATGCTTTGATCCTAATGCTCTTAGGAAAGTCCTTTTGTTCTTATTCTCCCTGTAAAGCACCAGGTGTGACTGCGGTGGTTTAGGAGATAATAAAGATAATAACAAGAGGAAGGTTTACTAGAGTCTTTAGTGTAATGGCTATAACTGATTTTTGAAATAGTACTTCTCTACTATTTTATGTGCCACAATCATCTTGGGTTTTTTAAGAAACAACACAACGTGTTGTTTTCGCAGCATCCTCCACGCCTGGCTATCCTCCCAGGTTCACCCAGGGGTGCCTCTACCACAGGCTGGAAATAGCGTTTCAGAGACAGGTTTTCAAGCACTTGAGGGGAGGCAGAGGCGGGTTGACCATGGGCATGCCCCAGTGCATGTGATTCTTGACTTTAGGAAGCTGGTGAGTGGAAAAAGTCAATACAATACCTTGGCTACACCTTCAGGGCTGGATCCAGAAGCGATCAAAACCTGTAGAAGTCTTTTGGTTGAGTTCAAAGAGCCTTGGATGAGGCTGTTATTCCACAGAAAGCCACCCGTCCATCCCTAGTACTTTGAGGTATTTTCTATGGGAGGTGGGGGATAGGAAAGAAATCAAGAAAAAGAAAGAAGAATATGAAAGGAGTGGCTTTCTCTGTGCTTTTCAAATGTTTTAAAGAAGGCAAGGTCAAAGCTTACCTTATGATGGCACTGGTATTGATAGATACCATAAGCGGGCGGCAGCGTTTGCAGCAATGAAGAGTTCCGCTAATGAAATGCAAAGTTTCTCCAGGGTCCAAAATAAATGCTGAGGCTGATGGCAGTAGCTAGGTGTATTGCTTTCCTAAGTCACGTGGCGTTGAGATGAAGCCCACTATTAAATTATTTTCTGCATGTGGCTCACATATGCTTAAAACCTACGTGCCAAATAGAAGTTGGAAATACCTGAGCTGAATTAGAAGGCAGTTATGAAGTAGACTCTTTGCAAAGGAATTTTCAGTCTCTGATACTTGGTTACATTAGATTATTCAAACTCTCTTTTCTGTCAGTGCAAATGAGATCATAACTCACATGTGCATGAAAGCAAATGATCTAAAAATGCACAGCTGCCTAACTTTGATTTATATTAAAGACAGACATAGAAATCATTAATTCCAGTGTCTTGGGAATTACATTTAAGTAATAACAAAATTAGGCAAATTATTCCTCAGCCTCTGAGTGCACCAAGGTATGCATGCAGTCTTGTTGTTTGACGGTGAGATAAATGTCAGGATCAGGCTCCACGCCAAAGTTAAGCAATTTGTAGAAGGGGGATAACAATTTTGGAAATGACTAGCACCATGTTATTTGTGAGATCAAGTATTTATCAACCAACTTCAGGTCCCCAGAAACGTCCTCGCGTTGTTGCACAACGTGGTTATTCTTCCTTTAGAATAAGTAGCAGATCCAATGTACTTTTTTAAATTAGAGAAAGATGCGCTTGGCTGTACCGGCTCGGGATGTGGGGCAAGAGAGAGTCCTGGTCAAGTGTTTGAATTTACTCTCTAGCTTTGGCTGTCGCAGTAAAGTGGCATCAACCTGCACGGAGAGGAGCTTACTGGGGAGCACCTGAATTTTTGCTGAAGTGTCAGTGCTGGCATTTAGTCCAAAGATAGTAAATGGATGAAAGTATTAGAAGTTTATAACTGGGTTTGGTAGGATTTGACATTTCCTTCTTGCTGCTGACATTCATTGCCTGGGGAGAGATGTAGAAAGAATGAAAAAATGAACTTCTGATGAAATTTGAAGGCTTATAAAAATAGGATAACGTTAACTCAATCTTCTTTCTGTTGATACTAAAGAAAGAATGTGAAGTTTATGAATATGGGTAACTCGTGAAAGTCTTATTTTAGGACAAGGGACAGCATTTCCTCTGTTTCTCAGCACGAGGTTGAATGTTGCTCTTTGGGGTTTTTGGCCTATCTTTTGGCCGGGCTTCCCGCCTCTGCAGAGGAGCATCATTATCGGCCCTTAAACCCTATTGACGGCAAGGGACGGCAGCTACCTTTTATCGAGCTGTAATAGTCTTGCAGCAGGAAAACAACCTTTTTCAGAACACTGCTTATGCAAGCTTTTAAGCAGCAACATCTGATCTTATGAGTTACATCCATTTCTCTCCACGTTGGTCTGAACTTTTCCATTTCGGAGCAAGTTACTGCTCTCTCGCTGGTTCTTTGTGTACCTCTTAACACAATAGCGGCTGATTGAGTTGGAAGTAGTGCTGCAATTTAAAATAATCACAACTGTCAATGCATATGCCAATTTTTCTATTCTAATGGAACTTCCAGAGGTGCTACGTATATACATTGTAGTTTTTTAGGTTCCGAATATATTCATAGACTGGGAAGAGCTTGGGCTGTAATTTATTTCTTAGGAAGTATACTGATGGAGTGGCTCCAAAACAAAGGAAGAAGCCTCATCTCTGAAAAAAAAAGCAGAACATTTTATATTGAGAGCTGGTTGAAACAGTGTGTTTGTGCTCAAGGATTAAACCAGGATGCTTGTGACGTAGCATGGAATGACTTGCATAACATGTAATGAAGAAATTGAAGCTGAGTCTCTGGGTGCATCATGCTGAGTAAGAGGCTTGTTCTACACGAAACTGTCATATTAAATTCTTGTCGTGATTCCAGACCCCTTTGATTCCTAAATCTTTTGGAGGAGACTAATCTGAAATCAAAGTGAAGTTGCTTGGGGTTTGCATGCCAGAAGTGGTCACATTTGAAAAAGTTCAGTGAACCTGCAGAGGGAGGTTGAAATTAGTTGCTTCACTACAAAGTTTACAGCTAACATACCTGCTGATTTGCTTTTTGCTTTGATTCTTTGGGCTCTGCCTTCTTGCCACCTTCTGAGTTGTTTTCAAAAAGCATAAATCTTAAGGATGAGTATGTCCTGGTTTCAGTCTGTTTATTAAAAAAAAAAAAAAAAAGTAAATCAGTCTATACTGGTAAAACAAACATGAGCTTTAATACCAAGGACATGGAAAGACTGCATTTTTCTCTTCTGCCTTGTCCTTTGTGCAGTTATTTCCCTCTGTGAAGGTGTATATCGCGCTTTACTCTCCTGATTTACCAACATTTGACCTCCCTTTGTGCCAAGGTAAATGGAAATGGTTCCTTTCAATTTTTCTAAGTAGATACTGAGGGCTCCTGCCTTGATCCCTGTAAGATGACTCTGCTCCTTTGAAACCGCTGGAGCAATGCCAGGAATCCAGCCTGTTATCCCTGCTGAATGTCAGCTGCTTTCTCTATTTTGGTGTTGGCATTTTGGGGGGCTTTGACCAAGAATATCGTGCAATATTAAGTGCAAATGAGAGCATTTCCAGCGGTTAAATTCTGCCCTTCCGTATCCCTGTAGGCTGCCAGGGACCTGGGGATGTGCTTTGTGGTCCAGTTAAAAGAAAATGCCCTGGGTGGCCACGGCCCATGTCTAACCGTGTAGACGGCCCTGCGTGAAAGCTGATCTGTTGTTACTTTATATTTACAGTGTTCTGTCTCCTGTGGAAGGGGCCAAAAGCACCGCAATGTGTACTGTTTGTCAAAGGAAGGGAGGCATGTAGAAGAAGATTATTGCAAGCACCTTGCTAAGCCCAATGTGCAAAAGAAATGCAGAGGGGGCAGATGTCCGAAGTGGAAAGCAGGAGATTGGGGACAGGTGAGACCTTTTGCACCCTTTGATATTGTTCCTCCATCCAGTTGGTTAGAAGCTGTTTTTCCCATCACTTCTGTCGTCTTGAATTTTTCAAGGGTAAAAGTTTTGGGCCAGATCCTCAGGTGGAGTAAAACAGTGTAGCTTCATGGATAGCAGTGGAGCAGCACTGATTTGTACCAGCTGAAAACATGGCAACTTGCTTTTAGTATCTAACTGAAAGCAAATTCCTGTGTACATAATATTAAAGAGAATCTACTATTTATTCATGTTTTTAATATCTTTATTATTTAACTATGTCACATCCCAAGCAAATTCTTCCTTAGTTTTGAGAAATCTGAAATTAATTTTATTATCAGCTTCCTGGGAAAGCCTAAAGAACAATCTGAGCTGTTGATTAAAAATGCTTTTCACTACCTTTTGTTTCTTAACAAGCTCATCAGTGAATTCTGCTTCATTAACAAGTCAGACACTGATGCATAGAGTAGAGGCTGCTGGAAATGTGAAAGTGCTTGGAGTTATTAAGCATCTTGTTTGCTGAAAGCATAGCTTGAATCCTTCTTTTCCTGAAAATAATGTCTTTGTCATCACCTTGAATCTGCTGCATCACATTTTATCTCTGAACCTTGCTTTTCCCTCTACCTCATTAGTGTGCTAATCAGCAGAATTATTGAAAATCCCAGGCTAAATGAACTGTTACTTGTAAAACATCATGTTCTCTTGCGGTCTGTCTTCCAAATTAAGGTACAAAACACCAATTCTCACTGTATGCGAGTTCCCTGAAAGATAAACCATTAACATCGTTACAGGCACCCATACCAATGTTAGGACTAGGACGGCATACTCTTGTTTAATGTCAACTATTAAAAAAGACAATAAACCCATTGATGTTCTATGATCGTTTTCAGACTTGTATATTTTTTTTAATGCTCACCTTTGCATTTATAGGATGGCAGTATTTGCCGTTATGTGTGTAAAGGGCTAAGTGTGCATTCACCGTGGAGGTTCAGTTACTGAGGTCTGGGTCCTTTACCCAAGGTACGGCTGGGAGCCCCCAGGTAGCCCTGCGTAGTGCACAGTACTGCTCCCATACTGAAAATTAAGTCAATATTGTTACCTTTATTACCTGCAGGACTTAAACCTCTGTTTTATACAGGGAGCTAGACTGAAAAGAAACGTGAGGCTATTAGAGAGTCTTGTCATATCCCATTTGCACCTTATTTAAAGTGACTGCTCCTGAAAGCAATTTTTTACAGCTAATAATTGTAAACATAATAATGCAATGGTCTGTCGATTGCGTTAAAATACGCTAATGTTAATTGATAAAAGTAAGCCTTTTAAAATTCCCAACATTCCACCGCATGAACGGAGTTCATTTTATGCAAGTGGAGAAAGAAACCCAAGTTAATAGGAGGATGAGGTGATTTATGGCCTGAGGTAATCTCTTGTGACTAGGCAATTAAGGAATATTTGTATGCTAATGATAAGACTAAGAATAGGCAGCGCATTTCCAGCTTGCGGGGCAGTTCCTCAGCCCAGGTCCCTGATGCTGTGTGTGCCCAGCCAGCCGGCATCTTGCTTGGGGAAAAAAATAAAGGGGTAGAAACACCCATTCTGCAATATCAAACTGGGCTTTTTAAAGCCACATGAAATGCTCTGACATGGCTTCCTCGCGTCCTGATCCTCACTCGTGCTGGCAGCATTTCTTCGCCTGCGACAGATGAAAAGCGGGGCTGTCAGAAGTTCAGAGCACCGCCGTGGCCATCCCTGCCACGGGTGTGCAGGGCTTGCACGGCTTTGCAAAAGATTTAATGCCTCGGAGCCAAGGTGGATTTGGGTGCTGAACTTCTCATTAAGACTATGAAACAGGCAGGGGTTTGGCACTCTGAATACCCAGTAGGTCAGGATCTAAATGGGCACGAAAACGTCGTGTCACCTTCCCCATCACCGGCGCCACTGTTGAAAATAGGGAGCCGTGATCAGTTTGCACTTGGATACTATCAAAAAAGCTTTCTGAAGGTCTAATTGCCTCCGAAAGATAATCCCGAAGCTGAGCTGCTGTGAGCTGGGTGCCTTTTGTCCTGGGTAAACCAGCAAAAGTCTGCGTGAGAAATAAGGCAAGGTTTTCCCATAAAAGTGCATCCTCTTTGTCGCCATATATGCACAGGACCTGTTGCATGTGCTTTTAGGTTTTTTTTCCTTTTCCTTTAGGGAAAAGGAATGGTTAAAAAAATCAGGATTAAAAAATACAGGAATGGTTTAAAAATTAATCCCAGCCGGTTGAGCCAAGTGCTCCACTCCCAAGTTTTTTTCTCTCTGGATGTTTTGTATTCAGAGGCTGGGTAATTCTTTTCTAGATTGTTATGAATCCACTTTCCTGCAGCAAAGCATTTTTAATGCATCTGTAATAATCAGAAGGAAAGAAAAAAGGCTTTTTCTCCAAGTTTTAGATGTGCTTGTGTCTGCACTGAAATGTCAGATTTAATGTGTTTCCATCTCCTAAGCAGTATCAATTATGGCCATTTACATTTCACTTAGCAAAAATACCAATATTTATTCTGCTGTCTGGTATTTTCATATTTCAGCTACAGGCTGAAATTCAGCCTTGTCTTAAAAACACAGGTAGAGCATCAGGTAGAGCTTCCCCATGCTGGCACTCGGCAGTTTGGTGATTGACTTTCTTAGCGGAGAAAGGAGCACTCCTGGGAAAACATATAGACTCCATAGAAAGGACAAACAGGCTGTCTGGCTTGTGGCATCCCATAGGGGAATATGTAAGTACAGCACAAGTTGGCTGCCCCCAAACAGCATATCTTCTGGCAGCGTCAGCCGGCTCTATTTCCCCAAGGTAGACACAGGTTGGCTGACCAGTATTCTGCATTAAAATAGCTAGGATGAAAATGGTGTTAAAACTCACCTTTTCTTGCCTCTGTTAGAGAGCATAATGGTGTTATTTTGAAGCCAGCCATACATCCAGCCCGAGCCACAGCAATACTGAGGCTGCAGTAGGCAGCAGGAGGAGGCACCCCGCAGAAGGGGATGCCTCGATCCGCTGGGAAACTCCCGTGGCCCCGACTCACCAATTTTCGCCCAAGCCGGGCGCAGCCGTTGCCCCCTCCTCAGCAGGGCTCCGTGCTCCGGCAGCAGCAATACCCTGGGGTGGCCGGGTCAGCCCCACCGCAGCCCTCCTGTGGGCCCCTGTAGCTTCATCTTCTCCGGCCGGGACCACACTGGTATTTCTGTCTCCGGTGCTGTGGCTGGATGGTATCTGGTGCACCAAGTGCACTTAGGAAGCCTGTTCAGCGAGGGAGAGCCTCCCCTGCATACACTCTTGTAATTAGCCCAAGGAAAAGCTCTTCGCTTGCTTGCTCGCTTGCAGGAGGGGAGTTCAAATCTCTTCCAAAGGCCGATCTGGGACACGGCAGCCCTGGCCTGGGGTCCTCGGGGGCTTGCTCCCCCGCTGTGAGTCCTCCCACCGATTCAGTCAGGGTGCAGCATTTATCCTCATGGGCTTACATGGGGGCAAAGATTCACCCCCCAAGCGTGCAATGAAATGAGTCTGAAGCTTTGCCCAGGGCCCTGCTTTGCCCGGCACGGCCAGGGACCAGCCTCCTCCCCCCCAGACCCGCTCTGCCCGGGTGTCACATGCAGCACAGCCCCCGGTGACAGAGCCACGGCGTGACTTGCTCTCCCTTATCATAACATACCCGGGCATATGCTTTTTAGGTGGGCGATAAATGCAAATCTAAAGGCGTTTTAGAGCATGGTATGGATCCCGGTGTATGTGTTTCTTCAAGTTTGTAGCCATTATTCAGTTTAACTGTCCCCTATGGAATGTGTAGGACAAACAGCGCTGTTAATCACAGGGAGGCAGTGCAGCATATGGGAAGCATTTGCATCACCAGTGACAGAAATCTCACTCCTACTTTCAAAAGTTACACAAAAAAACTCCCACCCTCTTACAAATATCTGAAGCCAGGCGAATATTCACAGTCAGCTTTTCTTTGGTCCTCTTGGCTTTATGGGACGTTCGGATAGTAAAGCAAATGGAGCATTATGGAGGAATACTCTGCAGAAGAGAGAATTGCTTTCCCGTTAGGCGCCGCTTAATTCCCTGCTTTAAGAAGGCTCGCTTTTATGGTATTGCAATAACGGGCTGTAAACTTGTTTTCTTAGTTCCTAATGTAGTAATAAGGTTGCTTATATTAGTTGTTAATTCAGCAAATGGTTAATCGTAATAGCTGTGTTTTAAACGCATACCTTTGATTTTTACACGCTTTCTTCTATAAATGCAAATTCTTTTTATTCCAAATCTATATCATATACTTTAAGATCTAGCCCGAAAGAACCCATACCAGTGAGAAGTTAAGTACTGCTAAATGTCTTACAATGTGCAGTCACAACAACAAGAAACGTTGCATAAAGGAAAAAACAAGCTGTTAAAAGCATTGAAGTGTAGATAATAATTTGACGATGTCTGAGAAACAGAGAAATTCAGGCTTTTCTTGCTCTGCTTAGGAGTGGGGAGAAATGTGCCCGCAGTGTAACGAAGGAAATGTGAAATGCAGTTAATTTAAAAAAAGACACTTATTTTCACAAACTAACAGTATTCCCTGGCTTGTGTGCATGTGCATGTTTCGTTGCATGCTGAAAGAAATCCCAGCTGTATCATACCTTTACCTCTCTATTACTCCAGACTTTCTTCTGTATGATCTGAGTTTGCGTTTCATTAAAGTCCACTCCAGTGACACTTGTGGCATTTGATACATTTTGAACTATTACTTTTTTGAGCTGAGTGCCCGAGAAGTAATACGCAGAGCCTTGCGATAGTTTAGCAATGCCGCTATCTCCAGAGGTTTTTGCAATAGAAATCCTGTCCGGGAAATCCTGACCCCACTGAAGCCAACGGCAAAAATTCCCGCTGGCTTCAGCGGAGCTGTCTGCTCTGCCCTTGCAAAATTTTCCCCTTGTGCAATGAAGAGCCTCACCTGGAAGTTTAAACGCCGGTGTTGGAGCATTGCTGTCGCTGCCGTTGAGCACAGAGCAGAGGGCGAACCCCGGGAACTTACCGTGACGGCTGCGACGGGGACCACCGCTCACCTTTTGTCCCTTCCTCCAGTGCTCGGTGTCCTGCGGCCGGGGCGTCCAGCGGCGCGCCGTGCACTGCCAGAGCGGCACCCCGAAGGCGGCCGAGGAGGG